GAGGAGAGGAGAGGAGAGGAGAGGAGAGGAGAGGAGAGGAGAGGAGGATGGGGATTTGGAGAACTCTTGAGTTTATTGTCCTGAAGGAGATCACAGAACCATCAGATCAGCCCGGTTGTTTTAAGCTTTCCAGATCATCGAGTCCAACCATCAGCCTGACCTGAGTCCCATCCCCAAACCTCAGTGCCACATCAACAACTCCAGGGGTGAGAATCCCAACTGCATCCATCCCTGTCATGGAGGCTTCCACCAACTTCTCTGGGAGGGAGGCCAAACAATTTCCCTAAGATGGAGGCTTTAGAACTTCTATGGAAAGGAGGTTCTCCCATTTCGCAGGCAGAGAGGCTCCACCTCTTCCCTGGGATGGAAGTCCTACCAGCTTCCTGGGACTGAGGCTCCAAATCTTTCATGGCATGGAGGTTCTACCATTCCTCTGGGATGGAGGCTCCATCTTTTCCCTCGGATGGAGGTTCTACCATTTCCCTGGCACTGGGACTTCAGAACTCTTCACAGAATGGAAATCCTACCCTTTTCCCTGAGCTCCAACCCCTTCCCTGGGATGGAAGTTCCACCATTTCCTTAGGATGGAGGATTCTCTCCTTAGGATCGACGCCCTACCAACTCCCCTGAGATGCCAGGCTCCACCTCTTCCCATTCCAAACCAAACACCACCAACCCCACCCCTCCCTTCCCCTCCCCTCCCCTTCCCTTTCCTCTCCTCTCCTCTCCTCTCCCCTCCCCTCCCCTCCCCTCCTCTCCTCTCCTCTCCTCTCCTCTCCTCTCCTCTCCAGATGCCAACAGAGCGTCTTCAACCATCATCAATGCATCTCCATCTCCATCTTCCACCCTCAGCAACGCAAATTTCATCCACCAGAGCCAAACTCTGCGCGCCTGACCTTCAATACGGGCCAACCCCGTGTTTTTATTGAGGTTTTAATGATGCTGCTAACAGGATTAGTAGGGGAAATCCCAACCACAATGCAACAGCTCCATTCCTCCCCCAAGGCAGACGTCCCCCGCCACCAAAACCCATCCCCAGCCCCCCATGACGGCGTTACCTGGGGGAACGCAGGGTGACGTCCCTTGTGCTGTTGGTGAGCTGGATCTCCACGCTGCGGGAGGCCATCCCAGCCCTGCCTGCAACGGGATCTGCAAAATGATGGGGGGGAGGAGAAGGGGGGAGGGAATGGCGATGCAGGAAATGAACTCTGCCCCACACCGCCCGCAAAAAAATGTCCTTGTGTGCAGTGTGTCAACAGGGTGTGGGGTGAGGAGAAGGGCAGGGCGAGATTGGCTGTCCCAGCAGGGAATGGAAAGTGAAAGTGAGGGGAGCTGGGGGGCGGAAGGGGGGAGGAGGGAAATAAGGTGAAGAGAGACAAATACGGGGGGAGGAGGGGGGCAGGAGGCAGCCTCTATTCCCATTGTGTCCCCTTTACTGTCCCCATTGTGTCCCCATCCTCACTGTGTCCCCATCCCCACTGTGTCCCCATCCCCACTGTGTCCCCATCCCCATCCCCACTGTGTCCCTATCCCCATAGTGACCCCATTCCTGTCCCCAATGTGTCCCCATCCCCATCCCCATTCCTGTCCCCACTATGTCCCTATCCCCACTGTGTCCCCATCCCCATCCCCACTGTGTCCCCATTCCTGTCCCCACTGTGTCCCCATCCCCATCCCCACTGTGTCTCCATCCCCATAGTGACCCCATTCCTGTCCCCACTGTGTCCCCATCCCCGCTGTGTCCCCATCCCCATCCCCACTGTATCCCCATTCTTGTCCCCATTGTGTCCTCATCCGTATTCCCACTGTGTCCCCATTCCTGTCCCTACTGTGTCCCCATCCCTATTCCCACTGTGTCCCCATCCCCACTGTGTCTCTATCCCCATAGTGACCCCATTCCTGTCCCTACTGTGTCCCCATTCCTGTCCCCATTGTGTCCCCATCCGTATTCCCACTGTGTCCCCAATCCTGTCCCCACTGTGTCCCCATCCCCACTGTGTCCCCATCCCCATTGTGTCCCCATCCCCATCCCCACTGTGTCCCCATTCCTGTCCCCAATGTGTCCCCATCCCTACTGTGTCCCCATCCCCACTGTTTCCCCATCCCCATTCCCACTGTGTCCCCATTCCTGTCCCCATTGCGTCCCCATCCCTACTGTGTCCCCCATCCCCATTGTGTCCCCATCCCCATCCCCATCCCCACTGTGTCCCCATTCCTGTCCCCATTGTGTCCCCATTCCTGTCCCCACTGTGTCCCCATCCCCACTGTGTCCCCATCCCTGTCC